GATAAGCAAGGAAGGAGGAAAGGAGGGCCCACTATGGCTTTCTGTTTGCTAACATCTGAATCAAGATAGTAAGAACTCCATCTCATCTTCGGGTAGTACTCATGATAAAGAGGAAATATACATATTTTTAACACCCTGTCTGGAGCAGATTATCAATAATACAAGCTCACTGTCCATTAGTCCAACATGCTTTAAGACAGAGAAGTTTCAAAGTTCATCTTTTTTTCAAATTTCTGAACATTTGCCTAAGTACAATGAGATATCCTAAGGATGGAACTCAAGTCTTAACACGAAAGCCTTTTTTTCATTTACAAGTAGCCCAAAAGCAATTCCATTCAGTATTCTTTTTTTGGGGGGGTGTCCGGTCATGGGGCCTGAACTCTGGGCCTGGGCGCTGTCCCTCAGCTCTTCAGCTCAAGGCTAGCACTCTACCACTTGAGCCACAGCGCCACTTCCAGCTTTTTTCTTTTTGCTTATGTGGTGCTGAGGAATCGAACCCAGGGCCTCATACATGCAAGGCAAGCGCTCTACCACTGAGCCAGCTTCCCAGCCCCCCATTCAGTATTCTTGATAATCTTGTCAGTGAAGCAGGGGTCCTTGGTGGGCGATTGTTTTACTTGGGGTATCAGGTTGTCATCCCAAGTGTGTCAGACTCACCGGACACTAGTGACTCACACCTGTCATCCTAGATGCTCAGGAGGCTGAGATCTAAGGATCATGATTAGAAGCCAGCCCAGGAAGGGAAAGTCTGAGACTCCTGTCTCCAGTTTACCACCAAAAAGCTGGAAGTGGAGGTGTGGGCTCAAGTGGTAGAGTGCTAGCCTTGAGAGGGGAAAAAAAAAGAACTCAAGGGACAGCACCCAAGCCCTGAGTTCAAGTCCCAGGACTGGCAGAAAGAAAGAGAAAGAGAAAGAGAGGGAGGGAGGGAGGGAGGAAGGGAGGGAGGGAGGAAGGAAGGAAGGAAGGGGATAAAGAAAGAGAAAGGAAGGAAAGAAGGAGGAAGGGAGGGAAGGAAAAAGTGTCAGATTCTGCAGCCCTACCTCCTAATTTCAGATGTTCAGATTATAGATACTCAATAGTTCTTACAGTGTGGTGATGATGATGATGTTAATATTATTAATTTCACTCCTCTCCCTTAACTACAGGAAAGATCCTAGGCCTTGCAGCTCTCTTACACTACCAATGGTGATTCTCGAACCTTGAGCATGTACAGATCATCCCACAGCTTCTTAACCCATGGCCTCCCATACTCCCCTCATAGGGCTCTGGCAGGGACGGGGACGGGGGTGGGGGCGGGCTGGGGTGCACACACTTCCAACGAGCAAGACGCGGGTTTGTAGGCACTGCGGTCTGGACGGGCACCGTAGGAACACCAACTGGGGCCCATCATCACCACCAACGAGGAGAGCAGGTAGGCCTGAATACCAGGGGCTTTCCAGGGCCCTCTCCCCACCCCGTATGCCCTTCCCAGGACCCCCCTTCCAAATCGAGGAGCCCCCAAGACACCTCTGTGCATGCTTGTGAGCCATGAATGCAACTCCAAGAGACGAAGAGCTCTGCGCAAGTAGGACCTGGCCTTCCTCCATACTCCAAACAGAATACCTTCAATGAGAACTGACAAAGTCAGGAGACCCAAGGACCAAAGCCCACCTTGAAGAACCAACCAGGATCACTGGTAGGTCTCACAGATGCTATCTGAGCCTTCATTGGATGTCTTCCAGGCTCCCTGGACAGACAAGGAACCGCCACCATTCCACCAACCACCTCCTCCGACTCTTTCCAAGTTCTAGGTTCCTCATGGGCAAACTACCAGCAGATACCAACTTTCCTTAGAGCAGAAGCCAGGGGGAAAACAGGAAGTCTTGCTATGTAAACATGGGTGGTAAATTACCCAATAAGATTTCAGAATCTCCTTGTTTTAAATAAATACTCGCTAGAATGCCAAGTTTTGTATTAATCCCCAAATTCTTTGCCTTCCAGAATTCACAAAACCTTCTCATCCGCACATTCATATACCCATACCCACTTGGCTTTGACCTTTGGGAGTTTTTTTTTTCTGACCTGTGTGGTGTTGTGTTTATTTCTAGAAATGTCTTCAATGTATCATGTATGGTCTCTCTACTTCCCTTAGACCATTTGAACCAAGTCAAGCACACGTGTAGAAACACCTTCTGCAGAGGCTCTTTTAGATGCTTGTAAATTGGTGATAAAGGGTTGATGACATCTTACCGGGGTCACTGCCAAATGAAGAGGGAGAGGGGAAAATAATCATGTCAAGCATGATTCAGGAAAAACATCTTAATCCTTTCTACGCAAGTACAAGTCCTTAACAGTTAACTTAGACATGAGAGAAAAGCTTTCTGGTTTTGTGTGCAGTTACCAGGAAAGGGGTTTTTCGTGTGTGTGTGTGTGTGTGTGTGTGTGTGTGTGTGTGTGTGTAAGCTACTCTATGATGTGTGTAAGATTCTCCATGATAAGAACTATCATTTTAAAATTCTAAGTGCTAGGAACTCTTATTTCATAGCTTATCATTATTTGGATGGGGAAATCTAATTTGCATGTGCTTTTAAGAAATTGTTCGCTGAGTGGTTTGGGAATCGTTTATTCAAAAGTGACATTAGTCACTCTAGGATGGTTGCCAATTCTGCCCCCCCCCTGGCCTTTGCATCTCTTGAAACAGATTTAAAGGAAAAGCAGGTGTCATCTTTCCAAGTTAGGTAGATTTCTGTAAGACTATGGACGAATACACCAACATGGTCCTTTCTAAGTAACAATCATGGTCTCTGTTCACTCACAGCTATGGGACGAAGTCAAGGCAGAATATGAGAAAGCACACAAATAACACAAACACTAGCTCTTCCTGCACACACTCACACAACACTTTCTATAAAGGTATATAAAGTTTTCTTCATTGGTTCCACTTGGATACAGTAGGCCCTTAAAATAGGTTAAGGTACATTATAGGCCTTTAATTAAAAACAGCTGTTCATCTGCTTTTCCAGCTAGGTTTCAGTTTTACCACCTAAGTTTAATGTTTTTTTTTAAATACGCATTATTCATGACAGACTTCTTGAACCCCTGCAAGTAGATTCTATGAATATAAAATTGAGTTCTAGTTTCTAGTCATTTTGTCCAACTCAATGATCCGTCATTGACTAGCAACTACCAGATTGCTTTCTGCCTCCGTGTCTCATCTAAACAGATGAGTACTATCTATTGTGTTTATTCTACACCCCAAGACAAGATGCCGAGCACGGAAGTTGACTTGATTTGGGCTTTTTGTTATTTTTTCTTTAAGGCAAAAGGGGACTAAAACCCAGGCCAGCGTCAAGTTAAGCAAACTAACCACTAAGCTTACTCTCCCAGTCCGTTAATGGGTTTAAGCACCTCCCCCCCCCTTTGTGAAAAATAACAGGTTTCACTGAGACATTTTCCTGAGGGTATAGAAATCTACTTTGATCATCCATAGCAGATTCTGAAGAACTTTGATCTTAAGGATGGCTTTTGATTTTTCCTGTCGCTGTGGATAAGCAGGCTGGCGAATGACCACTGTGCAAATGGCATTTTCTGTGCCTTTAAGAGACTTGGGTCCGGTGAGTAAATAGACTCAGGAGTCTCTTCTAAGCATCCACCTGCAGGGAAGACGTGGCTAACCTCTCTTACCAACACCTGTGTGCTCCACAGTGCTCGCTTCTGCTCTTAACAGGTGTGCAACCAGAATCGGTTTCCCTGAACTACTGTAGCTGACCACAGGGTCCGGGGAAGACCCCTTGGGCACCTGTAAGTGTGCCACCTGCCAGAGCAAAGCCAGTTCAATCAACATCCTGCAGGCCCTGCGGTCGTCCAGACCTCCCACAGCTCTGGCACCCAGAGAACCCCAGGCACCCAGAGAACCCCCCCACACCCCCCTTTCATGGGACCACGCTTGCTCGAAGGCTCTCTCTGCTGTTCGGTAACTGAGCAAATGTCAGCGCCCCGGGGAAGGGGATCTGAAACTCTGCCACCCTGCCCCGGGGGCACTCATGGGATCCGGCCCAGATGCGCAGGTGCCCAGGTGCGGGAACCCGGCTCTCCGCGGGAAGAAGCCGGCCCTGGGGCAAGCCTTGGCCGTCGGCCTTCCAAACCCAGAGCTAACCCGAGCCCTCCCGGCCTCCGCTCTCCGCGCAACTCGGTCCAGCCGGCTCCGAGGGGGATGTCAGCCGCTCCGATCCCCGCACCCCCAAAACCATGGACCCTCAACCTCACCGCACCCCCTCAACCCCAACCCCACCCCACCCGGCAG